GTTCGGATGCTAGAGTGATTTCCACAGACAAACAGATGGACAGGCGGACGTACCTCGCTAAATCGACATAGAATTTTATGCTAATAAAGAATATATTATGGGTTCTAAAATGTATATTTCGAGGTGTTACAAACGGAATTACAAACGTAATAAACCAAGTCAGTGAAGGGTATAAAAATGGTGAAGGGTATAAAAATGTAAACATATATTTGCATGACTTTACCTTCTTATATCTACCATAGTTGAAACCTTAAATTTTCCTTTATCCCTGTTAACATTAATTTATTAAAAAAAAAAATAATTTACTTTATTTTCCTAAAAATCACAATGATTGTCAATTACAATAGAAGCACCAGCAGCTGCCAGCCGCCAATCCAAGACATGACTTAAAATAAAACTCCGAAACTAGTGGGAAATTAATCGCTAAAGTTAACTATATTTAGTCATATAACGAACACTTTATTTTATTTTTTTTTGACTTGGTTCGCTTTAGCTGTGAAACCTTGAAATTTTATTCAGAGTAATAATGAACCAAAGTAGATTTTTTTGTTTTTGAATATTTTTTTAGTAATATATTTAAATTATTTTTATGTTAAATTAATATCATTAGTTAATTTTGAATATAGACTTTTACATTTTCATTTGGTAGACTAAATTTTTCCTTCCATAAATTAATGGCAGTGCATTTACTTTACCTCTAAATATCTTCGAATTATGTTTTTATGACTTAGTTCGGTATAGCTGTGAGCCCTTCATATGTATGTTGTTATTCTTTATTTGTTCGTATTGTTGTTGTATGCATGTAGTTAAAAGCTAACATTGCAGTGTGAATTACAAAACCATATACACAGATACATGTGATGATGTTATTGTCCTTTACACACACACACACACAAATGTATGTGTGTGTGTGTGCAGATGGTGTGTGTGTGTGTGCGTGTACCGGGTTATATATTTACATTTATGCATATTTGCGTGTTGTCTGTTGCTCTACATTTTCTCTGTGTTTAAGCCATGTTTCATTTATGCTCATCAACACACATACAGGAATATATGTTCATGTGTGTGTATGCCAAGAAATGGTAAGAGAGAGAGAGAGTACACGTTTATATGGTCATATAAAGCTACGTGTGCTGGTTTTAACAACGACAACAACAAAGCAAATATTATTTGCTTCATTTGTTATTGTTGTCGCTGATGAGAATGTATGTGTTCAATTCATGTTGTTGTTCTTGTTATTCGCATTGTTGTATAGAGGTATGCCCTATCACATGACAACAAAACATATCTGCAAGCAACAATATGGCAATTTCCCTGTTCTTTTTATTATTATTGCCATAAAACGTTGAGGATATTAGGGTGGCCAGAGTAAAAAAGTTTCAATGAAAAAAATAACATAAATAAATGAATAAAAAAATAAAATTAAATAAGTAAATAATATATATGCATACATTTTTATAATATTAGGCCGTAAATTTTCTGAATAATAAGAAAGAAATTAATTTTGAATTGAAGTCGATCGATTTCCAAAAAATAAATATTGAATTTATACGTATAACAACATTTTTTTAACTATATTAAAACAAGAGAAATTCCAAATTTTAAACACTACTGTATAAAGCTTAGCCTTTTTGATCTCAATTTTTATTCAATGAAAATTTAAAATATTGCTTTGCATTTTTTCTTCATTTGACATTCCAAAGTTTATATATATTTTTTTTTATTTTAAATTTTTATAGAACAAAAATTGAGCCCATGCATTTATCAATAAATTTATTTTTGAAAAAAAAATCTGGGAAAATCCCAAAATCCTTGGTCCACTTCCTTATTAACGGTATACTGCCCCATTGTGTGAATATCAAAAAAAAAAAAAAAAAAAAAAAAAAAAAAAACGGTAACCATTTTTAAAAGCATGATTCTTTTGATTTTCATTCATGTTAAAGTCATAAACTTTGATACATTTTAAGCTTGCTGAAAGCCTCAAAACACAATAGCTTATAAAATAATAAAAAACACATACAATACTATACAAAGCGCACACCTACTACAACAGCAGAGGTATAACAAAAATACCCCACTACAAACAATATCTCGAAACAGGGCAAAGTATCACAGAGTCAATGCATGTGTATGCGAGTATGTGTGCATGAATATAGAAAGTACAATACGTGTCATAAAACTTATAATTATAACATGCAGCTCTACTCTTAATTTGTTGTTGCCGTTCGAAACACGAAACTCTGTTCATAGGTGATGCCAAAGATAATGGACTTTACAAATGTTAAATACACTTTTTTTTCGTATACAAATGTATTTGGTGGTATAATTTTTGAAAAAAAAAAAAAAAATAACTGAAATTGGTTGAAAGTGAGTGAGATTTGAGTGCTAGATAACAAAGAGAAAATTACCCGATGTCATGAATGTTCTGATGACCTGTTGGTGGGCAATTGTGGTAAACTATTTCATTTTTATAAAAACGTTTAAGAAAAATTTTAAATTTTTAAACTATATTTTTGGAAATCACTAATTTGCGGTTTTGGGAGACTAGGACAGTCTCATTAGGACGTATATCAATATATCTTTACCCTCAAATAAAAAAATGGCAAATTAAAAAAAGATTCCCTCGTATATCTTTATGTCTTCACTAAGGTATTTTGAAGGACTCAGTTACAGTTCCTTATATTATCAGAAGAGCACAGATTTTGTGAGAAATCCCATTTTTTTTTCTTAAAGTAGTTGAATTAAAATGAAATCTTTAATGACAAAAAGTATGATTTCACAAAGAAAATCAAGTTTTAATTACTGCCCATTGAGCGGTGCTCATATGGTAGTGCAGACCTTTGGTATAGATTTTAAATTGAAAAGTCGAAAAAAAATTAAAAATTTACAAACGTTTTTTTAATAATATTTCAGGTTTTTTTTTTCGTTAGTCATCAATTTTCATGGAAGCCCAAAAGTAGGCAACGACTTTAGTTATTTAGCATATTTTCTCTGCTAAAAAGAGAGGCTTGATTTGCTCGTTATTATTTGCTAGCGAGCAGGAGTGCTAGAATTGTGGTAGTTTCATGTAGAGATTACTCTCATAGACAAATGAAGATATAGACAACGAAAAGTTAGTTTTGTCTTTTTATCCAGGTGGCTCTCATCATGTTTTGCATAGTCAACATACTGATTTACGTGTTCAACCCACTCGACTTCGAAAACACATTTTATCGTTTTTCAAGAATTTTACTTGATTATTCCGGAATTTTTTGATGTCGTCACATAATTTTTACATTTATTTTATTATGGAACAATTGCCAACCGACAAATATCCTACAGTTTTTGTTATTTTTAACGTTTTAGAATTGAGTGACTTCAATATTCCCACTCAAACCCCTGAAACGATATTGACGACATCTGCTGATTCGATTTTTTTCGAAGATAAACGGTGAGAGCATTTCGTTGTCTATATTTTTATTTGTCTATGTTACTCTTCGATCTTTTGTTCTTTGAGAGAACTCTCGTCCGTCGCTCCTGTTTGAAAAAATTAGAGTGGCATTCGAATCGCTCGAAATTGAGTAACAGTTTGAAAACTCGAATGAAAACAAGTGAAAAACAATTATTTAGCTTGGTGATTTGAATGTGTCTGTGAACTGTGGCCGAGGGTAGATTTTTTCAGAAAAGACAAAAACAACAAAAGCAACAGCAATATCATTGACTTCGTTGGTACAGAGTTACGACAACGCTATTTAACGTATTTGGCTTTCTTTAATTTGCAGCTGTAAATTGAGAAAAATACACACGGATACAAATACAACCACGGATGACAAACTTTAAAAGTCCACTCGACAAGAGTAGACATGGCTCGATTTTGAACAAATTTTGGTTCCACTCCACAACGAGCAAAACATCTTCGTTCTTATTCGAGCGACATCGAAAAATAGAGTATGCTTCATTTTTATACTCCCAGGAGTGCTCACGATCGAATTCGAGTTGAGAGTAAAACTCTTTCGAAAAAAGAAAAAAAAAAGATCATACATTATTTTTCAATATCGCTCGAATAAGAGCCAGACCACGTGGCTCGTTGTAGAGAGGAACTAAAACTTTCAAAAATCGAGCAAATTCTACTATTTTCGAGTAGGTTTTTACTCTGTCAATAAAAATAGTAATAAATCAGAGAAGAGGCCATAGAATTTGATATAGAGTTTTGACGATTTAAATTTTGAATTTTCCACATCAAAGGATCTTACGATGAAGATTTCTATTACAATTCTACACAAAGATTATAGAATTTCTCTTGATTAAAATTCTATCTGATATAGGTCCTATTTACGATTTTATTTTTTTTTTTTTTTTTGATTTAAAATGAATTTATATATTCTCAACATATTAATACATTTTAAATCCTAAAAAAATCGTAAATAGGACCTTGAGGATAAGGCTCTTGTCTATCGGATTCTATGACTTTCCACAAGAAATACTAAAAAATATGTATTAATTCGAATTCAATGGTAAAAGTCGATCCATAAAGGCTTGATTTTTGTGCAATTTTTATGAAATCGTTTCATAATTGTTGGAGTTATCTTTAATTGCAAAATTTTCCAGAAAATGGGGTCATTACAAAGAAAAACAACTCGACTTTCGAACCGAAAACTGTTTTTTTCCCAATCAGTTTAGGGCGACCTTTCGTTGGATAGAAAAATATACAAACTTCGTTTTTGGGTTGTAGATAAAAATAGAAATTCAAAATTTGATTTTTACGAATTACTTGCTCATTTTAATTCGATTTATTTCGGTCATAGGCTTTATCTAGACAAAAATCTTACTTCAAATTTAAAATTCGAAAACGAGTTCCTAGTTTATTACTATTCGAGTTATGTTCAATTGGCATCAAACATGCCTCTTTGAGAAAATCAAATCAAATTTAAATGTTTACAAATTAAGTTGAATATATCCGAAAAATAATCCAAATTATCTTTTCAAAATACTAAAAATTGTTTTTCTTTTTAATTTTCCAGGTTCGATGTTTTGGTCAATGGTGGTGGTGCTGTTACCTTGCAATTCCAACGTTCACCATTCCGTCCATTAACACGCACCGTATTTGTGCCATGGAATCGTATTGTGGTTTTGCCTCCCGTGCAAATGCAGCTTAGCGATGAAGATGATAGTGCCAATAGAAATATTAAGTAAGCATAAATCTCATTTTTTCAAAATAACAAAAAAATACTAATTAATCATAATCATATTTTCATTTTCCACAAACAACCAAAAAATCCAACATCCACAGAGTGGCTCCCTTAAATCCAGCCTTGACCTTCCTCAATTCCATTCTATATCATTTCTCGGATGAGCCCACAACGGATGCCCATAAACTGTGCATGGAACATGATCATGAAGAGCTGAAGCCACAATTGATAAGTACATGGATGCCAAATGGCATTGGAGCAATGCCCGGTAAACGTGTCATATTCGCCGAGACCCAGGTGAGTGTGTGAGCGCCCAATTGCAATAGTAGTAGTAGTTGAAGTAATTAATTTAAATATGAAAATTTTCCTAATTACCTTCATTTGTGTGATGAGAGTTTTTGGTAACAATTTTAATAGTTTGCAATTTGAAGCGAGAGCATACTTAAGTGTTACAAACGACGACGACTCCGATGCCGAAGTGTTTGTTGTTGGGTCACGTTTTGGCAATGAAATGACTGACTGACGGACGGACGGACGCACAAAATGAACAAAGTATCCCACAAAAAAGAGAAGCTTTTCCGGTATGCTTGCTATAACAATACCTTGGGGTCCTTTTAATAAATCTTTGTTGTTGGCCCTGTGTTGCATGAAGTATAGTTGTAGAACGGACTAGAGAAAGTGTTGCTGCAAAAAGGGTGGTGGTAGCAAGTTTTATGCAAAACTAACATTTTCGTGTCCACCATTTTCCCAAAGTTTTAAGGTTTTTTTTCTTTTTTTCGGTGAGCTAAAGTCCATGGTGTTTGGTTGTATATTTATTGCCGTTGTTGTAAATCGTGCCCATTACCTTGTGACCTCAAGTACCAGAAACACCCCTTGCCAACACCACACCTTGCTGTGTGTGTGTGTTCTACTTGTTTTTGCCATTGTAAAACGTTAAATGCCTTAAGCTTCCTGTACTCTTGCATTTTATTATGTCCTTTTTGGTAGGGCTTTTTTTTTCCTTCCACTCTCATTGTCCCATCCCTATTGTTAATGCCATTAAATATTTTGCATTATTTATGCTAAAACTGTAACTCATGCAGGTACGTGTTGCTTATTTTTTATTTATTTTTATTATTTTTTTTGCTGATCCTGCTACTCTCGGGGTTTTTTTCTATTGTAGCTTTGCTACTCACATTACCTTGGCTGACACCATCTGCAGCTTTGACTGGGTTTTAATTAAATTACTATTTGCCTTATAGTTCAATTTGCCTTATAGTTGGTGTTGTTGTTGTTGCTGCTGCTGTCACTGCTATCATGTGAGCCAATACACCCGAACCTTGTACAGAGCAGCAAAGCTGGGGATCAGTGCTTATATAAACAGATTTTTACTTTCATTAAATAGAAATTACAGTCTTGGGAACTATTGACCTACACTTCAAAGTGAAATCCTTAAGACTCTCTCTCGCTCCCTGTCTCTGTGCGATTGTGTGTGCGCAAAGTGCATAGGAAACTTAAGAAGGATAAATGAAAACAGAAGGTTGATTAGGGCACAAAAATGCATTGCACTGCTGTGTAATGGTAATTTGCGAAATGAATTTAAGAAGGAAAACTAATTTAAAGGGTGGAAAACAAAAAAATCAGGAGATTTTAAGGAATTTTATTTTTTCTTAATAAATAAGGGACATTTTTATGTTTTTTACTTTAAATGAGAATATGTGAGAATGGGTTCATTTAGTATTTTTCTGGTATCAGTAACTACTTACAAATCGGCCTATGAACTCCTTATTTAACAATGGACCTGTCATCGAAATTATTCAAGCTCAAAGAAATTAAGATAAAGCTAAAGCCATTCAAAAATATGTCCAAGAACCTTGCCATAACTAAAATCAGGGGGTATGTTTACAGGGTGAGATAAAAAAATTGCAAAAAATTAAACGCAATATTTTTTATTTGTTTTTTTTTTTAATTCAATTGAATGAAAGCACAAAAAGTTGGAAATAGCATCACATTTTAAAATAAGTTTAGATTTGTTCGAATTAGTCACATTCGGGCGAATTATGGCCTTCAAACGGCCAATGAAAACGGTCACACGCTGCCTGAATGTTGCTCTGCGCTATTTTGACCCATTCCCATCAAAGTGCTTGCTTGGGGTGATCGACACTTTGGTATTTTTTAGTGCCAACCTTGCTTTCCAAAATACTCCAGACACACATATTCGGCATTTATTCTGATGCCACGGTCGATAAATACGAGCGGAGAACGACCATCGGCTGTTATGGCGGCCCACACCATCACCATGACCGGCGTTTGAGTTCTGGTGGCCAACCGAAGGTTCACATTTTCAGCTGACCTCTTTGGCAAGTAAACACGATCATTTTGTTTCCTTACGAACTGCTGAACAATGAATGTTTTCTCATCGGAGAAAACCAAATTCGACGGTTCACCACTTTCGGCCAATCGAAGTAACTCTTTAGCTCTTTTGAGTCTATTTTGTTCCTGTTGCGTTATAAGTTCTTGCACTTTTTGGATTTTCAATGGCTTTAAACCGAGCTATTGAAAAATATATTTGCAGAATGGAATATTGCGATAGGTTCAGCTCACGAGCCATTTTTCGGCCACTGCGACGCTCGTTTCGATCAAGTCGCTTCTTTACTCTTCAAACAATTCTTTTTTTAACGTAGGTTGAAATTGCTCTTTTTTTGGTTTCCGCTTCCAAATTGTTACCAGTTTTTTTGTATGTCTTTGATAATTTGAAATGCTCTCAAAGGCCATCGTAGATCTTATTGAAATTGTCATTCATATTTACTCTACAAACATAAAACAAATACATATTTACACATATTTCTTTTCCCTTTCCGCAGATTGTTCAAGAGTCTATACAAATTCCCGGTTCCGATTTGCATTTAACATATCAATCCTCGCAAGCATCGGGCTATTTGAGTATAGTTCGTATGCGTTTGACGTCGGAGAAGATACCCAAGACACTGACCCATGTTCATGTGGGTGTTGAAATCGAAGGTTCTTTACATATCAAGACATATGAGGCTGATCCAAATTTGATACACACATTTGCCTGGAATAAACGCAACGTTTATAGGCAAAAGGTCTACGGTGTTACCATTGCCCGCATATCGGTGGGTTATCAACATTCCACATGCGACACTCCGGTATGGATCACCCAAACTGCCAAGTTACAAGGTTATGATGTCGATATTTCCGATATTGGTGGTTGGGGTTTGGATATCCATCATCATTATAATTTCCATGAGGGCATTTTACAGAAGGGTGATGGCAGTACATTGCACATGAAAGAATATCCTCGCACGGTAAAAGTGGTGATGGGAACTGGTCTACAGAGGCCGCTGAATTGCCCAGATCATTGTAATGGTATTGCCAAGGATGCGAAACTTTTGACACCCATTGCATTGGCATCGGGTCCCGATGGTAGTCTCTATGTGGGCGATTTCAATTTGGTGCGTCGCATTACCCCCGATGGCAAAGTTTATACCATTCTACAGCTGAGTGCCACCCAAGTGTCATATCAATATTATTTGGCTGTCTCACCGGCTGATGGACATTTATATATCTCCGATCCGGAAAGACATCAAATTCTACGTTTATTGCGTTTGGAAAAAGTCAAAGATCCCGCCATCAACAGTGAACCAGTTGTGGGTTCCGGACAACGTTGCATACCCGGTGATGAGGGTAATTGTGGTGATGGTGGTCCAGCTTTACAGGCCAGACTTTCACATCCCAAAGGTTTGGCCATTGCCGCTGATCGCACTATGTACATTGCTGATGGCACCAATATTCGAGCTGTGGATCCTAAGGGTATCATACACACACTGATTGGACATCATGGTCACCACAATCACTGGAGTCCGGCACCATGTACCGGTACCCTTATGGCTAATCAGGCACAATTACAATGGCCCACCGGTTTGGCTTTGAGTCCGCTGGATGGTTCTCTACATTTCATCGATGATCGTTTGGTGTTGCGCCTAACATCGGACATGAAGATACGCGTCGTGGCTGGTACACCTCTGCATTGCAACAACAATGGTCAGGATAAATCGAATAAAACGGCTGATAATGTTTTGGGCACCGTATTGGCCATGGCTTTCTCACCATTTGGAGATCTCTATATTGCCGATAGTGATTCGCGACGTATTAATTCGATACGTGTTGTTGATACATCTGGAAATATGCGTTATTTTGCTGGCAAACAAGAGAATACGGGGTAAGTATAAAGTTTTCGTTGTGAAATTGAAAAATTTTGGAAAGATTTTAGTTAAATGAATTTTGAATGTAAACCTATTACATTTTTTTTTGAAAAAATAAACAACCTAAAAGTAGGCACCACTTAATAAAATGCTGAATTTTAAATTTTATATTTCCTTAAAAAAAAACACTTAAAGTTGGTACCAGCTTTTAAAAAATGGATTTTAAATGTGAATTTATTACACATTTCAAAAACTCCTTAAAGTAGGCACCACTTTTTTTTAAAAAAATACAACAAATTTCCCTTGAGTAGACACCACTTATTACGCATCCCAAAAACCCTTAAAGTAGGCATCACTTTTTAAAAACATGAATTTTAAATGTAATCTTTTTTTAAGGAATGAATATTTTTTAACTTTTGGAAAAGAAAGAATTTTAAATGTGAACATAATACAAATTTCAAAAACCCCTAAAGTAGACACTTATTTTTGAAAACAAAATTCCTTTTTATGACATTAACTCAGTTTCAATTTAACCCTTAACGTAGGCATCACTTTTTGAAAACATGAATTTTAAATGTAATCTTTTTAAGGAGTGAATATTTTTTATCTTTTGGAAAAGAAAGAATTTTAAATGTGAACATAATACAAATTTCAAAAACCCCTAAAGACACTACTTTTTAGAAAAAAAATTCCTTTTTATGACCTTAACTCAGTTTCCATTTAATGATATATACTTAAATATTTTATGCTTCCTCAAGCATTTTTATAAATTATTCAATTTTTTTTCCTGGGCTTGGCAATTAAATTATTTGTAAAGTGCCACATTTCATTCAAGCCCCCCAAAAAAATTAAATTGTCTACCACACAAACATTCACACACCGTTTTTCGTGTCAATGTCCTAGCAAAAGTTAACAGCTCATTTTCTTCCTTGTTCGCCATCGTGCTCTCTCTCTCTCTCTCTCTCTGTCCGTCTCTTCCCCGTTTTTGTGGCTATATGTACGGTGTGGCATCAAAATTTTTTGGGGCTGTTGTACTTTGCAAGTGTTTTTATCAGCAAATTTTTTTTGTTTGTTCAGCAACAGAAACAGCGTCAGCTGTAGTTGTAAATCGTTGCAGACCAAGCAACAGAGACAATCAGCCAACCAGCCGGCAAAACTTGATGTCGCTGCTGTAATTTTTCGTTGTTTTTGTGTTCTTTTTTGGAAATATGCCTCTCAGGGACTACAACATAATCATCCAAAATCATCAAGCTTTTTTTGTGGGTTGGTGTTGTCCCGGACAGATAGTTTCAAACACTTCATCTGCTAAAACGGTGGCATTACATCTTGCATTCGTTCATATCAGAACGGCATGCCTTGTCTTACCTCATCCAGTGCCGCGACATAAATGTCCCAGACTTCAGAAGAGTATGAAATATATCATCTGTTGTCCTCCATCACTACCAGGGATGATAGTTGGCAACATTGTCGTACAATTTTTTTATTTCTGTTTTTTTTTTAGTGTCACATCCATTTGAACTACCAAAAAAGTGTTTAATTTTAGTGTTTTTTTTTTCTTCATCCTGCAAGTCCTTGCCTCATGTTCTCCTATGTATGAGTGTGGAGGAATTTCTATTTTTATCTAACATAGTTTAACTGTCTGTTTGCATTCTAGACAAATGTTTGTCTGTCCGGTCTTTGCTCTTTCGGCCCGGTTTTTTCCCATTTCATTCATTTTATCTGGATATATTTTGTTTTGTTGCAATGAACATAGATTTTAACGCCTGACTGAAAGTCCCAACCAAAAAAAAGGGGAGAAACATAATAGGAAGCAAAACAATATAGGAGATAAACAAAATGTGATATTTTTAATCTGTCGCTTGATGTTTGCCAACTTGTTAATTTTTTCTCTTCTCTTTACACCCTTTTTTTACACTGAGGTTAAAGATTTAAAATCAGAAATATAATTCTTGAAAGTTGTGCATATTTTTAGGCTTAATTCTCCACCACTTTAAGTGGAAAATTTTTACCAAAATTCTTTTGTACGCCTGAAAATTGGTTGCAGTTTTTTCATCTCCCCCTTTTAATTTAGTTCTGTACAGTTCTACTCTATATTATTATTTTGTAGTAGGGTTTGTACGTTATATAGTTTGTTGGGAGCGCCTAGAAGTATGCTATAAAAAGTTAAAATGGAAAAAAATTCTCAATAGGTTTCAATATTCAAGTTTCAAAATCGAAAATATTCCAAACCACTGTTCGTTTTTTATTTGGGCTAATGTTTCTAGTGCCGACCTCTCATGGCTTGAGGGCATAGAACAAAATTTCCTCGCTATTTTTGGGTAAAATTTTGTTCTCAGGTCCTTTTTCCATTTGGCCCCTTGTTCCATTTGGCCCATTATTTTTGTTGTTTTCCCCGTCAAAAAAAAAAAAAAAAAACAAGTAAAAACGATGTAAGTTCGGCCGGGCCGAACTTTTAATTGGTACAAATTTGGCAATTTCCAAAAAATAAAACCCGTTAAAAATTCTGTTAAAATCATAAAAATACCGAATGCTTATACGACGACGTGGGCCTGCATAGGCAACTTTTGTCATAAATTATTACAATATTTAAATGCGAAACTTGAAGAGAAATCTGTTTATAATGTAGCTAAAATCATCAAAATACCGAATATGGGGGGTACCGTTATATGGGGGCTATACGAAGACGTGGACCTGCACAGACAATTTTCTGGCATGGGCTGAAGCATCCATTACGAACTTCACATGCGAAATTTGAAACAATCCCGGTAAATAATGTCGCTAAAATCATCAAAATACCGAATATCGGGGGGATACCGTTATATGGGGGCTATATGAAGACGTGGACCTACATGGCACATTTTTTGACTTTGGATGTAGTATCCATTACGAACTTCAAATACCAAATTTGAAACGATTCCGGTAAACAATGTCGCTAAAATCATCAAAATACCGAATATCGGGGGTACCGTTATATGGGGCTATATGAGGACGTGGACCTACATGGCACATTTTTTGTCTTTGGATGTAGTATCCATTACGAACTTCAAATACCAAATTTGAAACGATTCCGGTAAACAATGTCGCTAAAATCATCAAAATACCGAATATCGGGGGGTACAGTTATATGGGGGCTACACGAAGACGTGGACCTGCACAGATAATTTTCTGTCTTATGCTGTAGTATCCGTTACGAACTTCAAATGCCAAATTTGAAATAATTCCGGTGAATAATGTCGCTAAAATCATCAAAATACCGAATATCGGGAGGTACCGTTATATGGGGGCTATATGATAACTTGGACCTACATGGCCCATTTACGAACTTAACCTGCCTACTGGGAAAATATACATGTGTGCAAAATTTTAGCCTTCTATCTCAATTTGTTCGAAAGATAGCGTGATTACAACAGACAGACAGACGGACAGACAGACAGACAGACAGACAGACAGACACACAGACAGACAGACGGACATAGCTAAATCGTCTTAGAATTTTACGCTGATCAAGAATATATATACTTTGTTGGGTCTGACATGAGTATTTCGAGGAGTTACAAACGGAATGACAAAATTAATATACCCTCCAAAGTATGGTGGAGGGTATAAAAAAAAACCATTCCAAAAATAAAGCATTGCAAAAAACTAACCTCTTGCTGACTTTTTGTCATTTTCTCCCGACATTCCTTGTCGGTGTATTTTTTTACTTTTGTGCAACTTAACCGCAAAAGTTATCTTTGCAACTAACAGGTATGCAGACAACAAAAATATTTTCTAAACAAAAGAAATGGAAAATAAACCCTGAAAAAAAAACAAACGTGCAACAAACCAAACGCTTCCAGATAAAACATTTTATACAATTTCCTCTAAATGATATAACTAAACGCTCTAACGATTTCATTTTTGCCTGTTAAATTTCCGGGAATAAACTAAAATAGTTTAGTTTGAAACTTTATTTAACAGGCGGATATATACGGTTTACATTTAAAATTCAATTTATTTTAATCTGTCTAGCCCCTAAACATGACGACATACGTAGGTGTTTGTATGTATGTATGTATATTTATCGGTTTTTGTATTGTAAGTTTTGTCGCTCTGACAATATTTGTAACTAATGGCATTTTTCCTACTCTCTTTCTCTCTCTCTCTCTCGTTATGCAACCAACGAACGAACGAACGTTCGTTTTGTACACGTTTTGATTTTGCAATTTTAACAAAACGCACACCATCCAACTCCCAACTGACAGAGCCTTAACATGTGACTGCACAAATGGTGCTGGCCTCAATGCTTCGACATCCGGCTTTAATTCAAATAACCCTGGTGGCAACTCCTATTCAACGACCAGCAATCCCACAAATCGCAACAATGGTGCTGGTGGCGGCAGTGGTGGCACCACGCCCACTACACCAGCCGGCAGCGGAAACGGAAATGGCGGTTTCAATGGCAATTCGGCGTCTAGTGCGGCCACTGGCAGCAATGGCGGTTGCATTTGTTCGCCTACTTCAGGATTAGCTGGCATTGTGGCTGGTAATCTTATGTCAACTGGTCCCACAACAACTACCACTGTATTGCTGGGTGCCAAAACAACAACATCTGCCGGTGGTCTGGGCGCTATATTGGGTTCGGCGGGTACCCTTAACGATGATGGTACACTGAGTAATGCTGAGACACTGTTGTCGTCGAATGCCCGTTTCCAGGCAATATCTGCCATAGCGGTTGCCCAGGATGGTGTAATTAATGTGGCCGATCAAGGTAAGTTGTTTAGTTTGTAGTTATAGTAGTATGCAGGTGTTGGTGTGTGTGTATGTGTGTGAATTATGAAGTGCATTTATGCGTATAATTCCACACATAATGATGGCGAGTTAATTAAGAAGCGGGTTTCTCGAGAGAGACTCAAAAGAATGGGAAGATAAGCCAGCAAACTATTGAAAAAGGCTTAAATTATTTGGTTGGCCGGACCTGTTATCCAGCTACAGAGATAACTTGAGAAAAAAAGTTCAACTTTGGCTAACATCAGGGACACCAAATTCAATTTTTAATTTAAAAATTCTTATAATCGGATAAAAAAGTATGAACGCTTAAAATATTGCTGTTAACTACGAGTATTATTCTGGTCGTAATATTAACCCTCAAATAGGTATTTTTGATACGTTTTTTCAATATATGGTAATAACTCCCTATAAACGGAAATGTAGGAAATCAAAATGGTCAGTCAATTTTACTATGGGTCCCAGAATATGTGAAAATTCTAAATATTTCTTAAATGCCAGAACTTCACTAATTTCAACCACATATTCAAGGGTTAAAGCCGTTATTCATGTGAGTTTATGCCATATTCTCATAAAAAGAATCATTTTAGAGGGATGACTCCAAAGAAAAAAATATTCCCCATCAAATTTCATTAGGAGTCACCACAGAAAATAAATCTCAATTTCCATTACATATATAGAGAAAAAGTTGGGAACAATATTGCCTGTTATTAATTAATACGAAAAACTCATTTTAGGGCTTAAGCCGTATTTCTGTCGATTTTATGCAAAATTCTCCTTCAAAACATAACCTTAGAGGTATAACTCCAAGGAAAAAAATAATGCTTATCGAATTATACTATTAGTCCACAAAGAAAAGAAACCAGGTTTATATCAAGAACAAGTTTGGAACAATGTAGCCTGGAATTAATTAATATTAAAAACACATTTGAGGGTTCAAGAGTTTATGCCAAATTCTACTATCAAGCATCATTACAGAAGTTCGACATCAAAGACAAAAACATTCTCCATCAAATTTCACTATGAGCCACCAAAGAAAAGAAATCTCAATTTCCATTATTTATCAGGAAAAAATGTGCAACAAAGTTGACCAAAAAAATATGAGAAAATAATTGTTAATTTTTTTAATCATTTTTTCTCGTCCTTTTTTGGAGTCGATGCCTGAAAGTAGCACAAAATTTCATTTTACACAGAAAAAGTTAAAGGAAAAAATATTCTACATTAAATTGCACTATGAATCTCAGAATAAGCCACATACCTAGGTCTAACAGTTTTAAAGAAAAAATTACAAAATTATGTGTTTCTGTTTTTAGTTGTAATTTAACATGATTACAATCTATGTCACAATCTTCCTTAATGCCTCATTTTTTGCGGAAGTTGTCAAAGGGAGAAGTGTTGTAGATCAAATTTCACTATAAGTTTCGAAACAAAAGAAATTGGTATACTCAATATGTACCATAGAAGCATACCACCAATTGTCGTTAAAAAAATAATTTTCGACAAATTTGGCACTTTTCCAAATTTGCTGCAAATTTTCTGATATTTATACAAACTTTCACTATAAATCTCAGAATAAATTATATATCTAGAAGAAAATTACATTCGGCATTCAAAAATTTCAAGATAAAATAAAGTGTTTTTCTTATTTATGTGTTTGATTTCTCCACCAATTGTCGTTAAAAAATAATTTTCCACAAATTTGACACTTTCCAAATTTGGATCAAATTTTCCGATGTTTACACAAAATGTTATTATAAATCTCAGAAAAAATATATATCTTGAAGAAAATTACATTTGACTTTTAAAAATTTTAAGATAAAATAAAGTGTTTTTCGTTTTTTATTGCTTATTTAACACGTCTCCAATCTAAGTGAAAATCCTCTCAAAATTTAATTTTTTGGAGAAAATTATCAAAGAAAGAAATATTCTAAATCAAATAACCGAACTGTATAAGAATATCACCAACTTTGTTTAAAAAAAGCCCCCTCTCAAACATTACCATATTTCTGCACTAATAAATAAACGTTATTTTTATAAAAACAAAAAATGTTTTCGAAAAATTTAGAACCTTTCAAATTTGTATCAAATTTTCTGACATTTTCAGTCTTGGTTATGGAAAACACCAAATGGATTTAACAGTGTGAGCGAGTTCGGATTCACAGGTCAAAATTTATAAGCCATTTATGTAGCCTTGAAGATAAACAGAGCTACCCCAATATTTTGAGATATTTGAGAATATTAAAAAGATGGGCCATTCAGTCAATTTATTTTTATTGTCCCCATATATTTATATTTACTAAAAATTATGTGGATAAATTGAAAAAAAGTCGTACCATTTACCATAGGTGGGCCTTGAAAAATTTGATCCACAAGTCCCATTATAAGACCAAATATTATCTTCCTAGACTTGGATACGAATATTATTTTGAAAGCTTCGTTCGAATTTAGTTAAAAAAAACTTAAATTAATCCCCAAAATTAATAAAAAGCCGCCCCTAGTCCCATTATCATAGCAAAGCCTTAAACTATTATTCCTTTTGATTTGACATTTATTGTTCTAGAATTGTAATCCAAAATGAATAGAAATTCATAAGAAAAGAACTGGCCTGGGGCAAAGATTTTCTGTTGAAATTACTTTTCACACTTGTTTTCTATTGAATACTCGCCCCTATTAAAAGGGAAATAAAACAAAATGGGTATATTTCTACCACTTTACTTATTACATTCTTCAAGGCTTTGGGAAATTTTTTGCGAGAAACAAAACTCTAATTAAGATACTGCAAACTAAAAAAAATTAAATACCGCAAACCATGGAGATGGAAAAATCTTTCATTTCTCTCAAAAAAAAGCTTGGCAGAAAATTATTTCCTTTTGTATGAAGCAGAAAAAAAATCAAGAAACCCCACCCCTCCTCTGGCCAAATCGAAAAAAGGCAGCAAAGAAATCCAAAGAAAACCACAAAAATATAGCCCTTAGCTTTATACAAATAAAATCCAAGCAGGCAATGATTTGGAAAACAATAATATTCTCATATTATTGGAGCATGAAAACGAATATCGAAATCGATTTCACACACAACATACAAACACATACATTGCTTCTTTTTTGGTTTTTGCAAATATTTCTTCACACACAACACTCACACGCAAACATGGTATGAGAAAGGCCGAAACAGTGGAAGGAGCTATAGAAACCGTTTATGACAATTGTAATGATTATTATCGTACCATTATTATACCAAAAAAAAAAAAAAAAAAAAAAAAAAAAAAACAACACACACACTTGAGTTGCCATTTGTCGCAAGTCAATTGAGCGGAAGAAGTGCTGGCTGAATGTGGGCTTAAGAAAACAATAATAAAACGAAAATGGGAAAAAATTATTAATAATAAAATAAAGGGGGTACATTAAATACAAATATATATTTTTTTGTTTGAGGTTGTTCCACATCACATCTATACATATGTATTTATTTTAAGTATGTCATTCTTTGAAATACTTTATTTTTTTTCTAAATTTAGCTTTGTTTCTGTGCAACTGTGTGCGTCCACCTTTACATCCTGTTTCCTTCAAATGTTTTCCGGCCCTAAGTATGGTTGTTAACATTAACAAAACAAATTTCAGGGGGTTGCAAGGGATGTATAAAAACTTGTGCTTCCTTGTGATTCGTGTTTTTTTTCTTCTGTTGTCATCTATGACATTTAGAATAAATGCTAATATATGCATATGTTACGGGTTTGTCTCTTTGTTATGGTGTTTTCAATGAAATATGCCACTTCTAACTACACACAAACATACACCCATACACTCTCATTCGTATGGAGAAGACAGAATCATTAGCTTTTTTCACTTTTGGCACAAAGTGCCAATTTACTTTTACTGACAAAATGCTAACGGAAGTCAAATACGAACTTCCGACATAGTCACACGCTCACACACGACCGACCCTCATCTATGTCTATATATACATATATATATAGAGAGAGGAAAACAAGTTTGTTTTTCCTTCCTCCCAACAAACTACCAGGTCTCTGAGAAAAATTCTATTACCTCTTAGTTCTGCTAGGGTAGCAAACACAAAGGAGAAATATTTTCTAGTCGTGTCTGTGTGTGTGTGTCAGTGTTACTTCCTCAATATGTTGCAAAATGCTGATTATTACAATTTTTGCCTACGAACGAACACACCATCAAAAGACCATAGAAAGCTATTTGCCATATTCCTGTTATTTCTTTTGTCGCCTTTTCTCAGGGTGTGAAAAAGGCCATAGAATCACCATAAATTGCTTAACAAATTTGACTAGGTTGTTTTTTTTTGTCATCACATCTTGAAAATAACGGCAATTCGTGTGATTTTTAGTGACAGCCAATAAGTAGACATTAGTTTGTTACATTAATGGCTCCCCAAAGTATGCTTTTGTTATTGTCAATGGCAATTAATATATATGTGAGGGGCTTAAAAGTCTCTATTGAAGTTTAAGAGGGAAGATAACAAAGTATATTTTTGGTAGGGACTTTTTTCGTATTTGTGTTGCATATTTTTAGGATGAAATGTATTTAAGACACCATACACGATTTAATAAGTTATCCAAGTTACTTTAGGCGTTTGTCTGGCGAAGAGCGAACTTTCTTACTTGTGGCGAATTTATACATAATTTTAGTTTGAAGATTTTGGGCAGCGCCTAGAAGTATGCTCCTAAAATATTATAAACATTTATGAAAAAGTCAGATTACACATGAGAACTAAACTAGCCTTTAACTCCCAACAGAAAGAGGATCTAGCGTTATGATCGACTAGGATATGGGCGAAACGTCCAATTTTTTGTGCTTTGTGACCGCTATCAGGTTGGTCATTATTCCCATTTTAAAGAAGAGAAACCACCCTTTTTTTTAAATATAGTTAATCCTATTTTAAGGACTTTTGGTCGGGATGGAAGATTTCCATCCCTGGAGTAATTAAAAAGCTGCAATAAATTTATTTCTGCCTTTA